ACCATACAAAGAGCTTTCATATAAATGAGCTGATTTTCAATAAATCAGCTCATTTTAGACCAAAATTGTCGAATGCAACACTAAAAAATAAATTTCCCACAAGGGAAATGACCAAAATTTGAAGTATGTATCATATATTTTTAAATATAAAATGTAAACAAACAACAACTTTGCTGTAAACAAGTACACTGAGAAAGTAGTATTACATACAATCTGTTTTTATTAATTGAATATGTAATTAAAATATAACATGTATATAAAAGATTTAATATATAAATTAAATATTTAATTTTTTAGTAAGATATATTAGTAAGTGAAGTTTGTTTATTTCAGATGGATTCAAGTCAATGGCAAAAAGAAGTACGTACTAGTATTTAATAAAATTTTTTGTTTTCATAAATTAAATATGCAATACATATTTAAATAATTGATTTTAGATTAATTAAATCAAATATTATTTTCAGACACATACAATGAAGAGAAGGAGAAATGCTTGGTCGGAAAATGCCGAAAGGAAGGACTACCACCATTACGGGGTGCCCGACGGAACGCACATATTTTCAATAAGATAGCCACAGAACTTCAGAATAGGTGTTTTCTGGACACTTCGTTAGAAGTGCAAACGAAGGTCCACAATTTTACACAAAGATTAAGGTAAGTATTTCATAAGTGAAATTGAAAATTATAATAATAATTTGTGCATTGAAACTGTTTTGTTGTTTATTATGTTATGTACTTTCATATAATAAAAAGAATGTTATGTGGATTTATTCCACATATTTGTCAAATTAAGTTTTGTCTTACTTTGTATCAAGACAAATAAAAGACAAAGCGCAATACCACAGTTTTATTTAGGAATTTATCCTACACACAAAGTAACGCTTCCTGTTTACACTATTTCAAGTGCATTAAAGCTTACTTACTGTGTATGCTGATTCAGCCATGATCACTGTAGTGAAGCTGCACACAGTATTCTTCATTTTCTTCATGAACAATAGTGGGCTTATGGTTCCTCCTATAGAAATCAACTTAGATACGACAAACACCACCACACTTATGTTAACAATGCAAATCTCAGCATAATTGATTTGGTTTGGTTAGCTTTTGCTTGATTCTTTAAATTCAGTTCGAGTTAAGCTAACAAAACATCAACAGCTTGTTTAACTTCATAACAAGAGATTTAAATATAATTTTGCTAATTTTTTTATTTATTTTTATTAATTTGCTTGTTTGTTTATTTTAATTTAGGAAAGAACAGCAGTGTGCTGGAGTTTCGGGAGGGGCGCCATCCGACTGGAAGTACTTCCATATATTGAAAAGATTTCTAGGCAATTTGCCCATACATAACACTACAAATTTAATGATTGAAAGTATTGCAGGTGAGTTTTCACAAATTTGTTAAAGTTTTTCAAAATAATGAATGTGTTTATTAATCAGACCAGGGGCCATCATAAAATGATGCATCGTTGCTGTCGCCATGCTCTTCTCCACCGATAGATGCAATATCTACGTCGGAAGATTCTGAAACACCTGCAAAAAAAAAAAAATAAAGGCAATTTGAATGACACCCTTTTGGAAAAATTTTAGAATCTGATATATGTAGAGAACCGTCACATCGAGCTGCAGGAACGCACAGATGCAAGGTTCTTGAATTTAATGGAAGAAAGCAATGTTGCTTTATCGCGCATCGCGTCATCAATGGAAAGAGGCTTTCCATATACTCGGCTCACTAGTTACGATGACTCTAGCGATGACTAGCGATAATTATTTATTAATAATATAACATAATTTATAATTATTATTATCATTATATTATTATAATTTAGATTATAGATTATAGAAAGATTGCATTCATTTTTTTTGTTGTAAATATGTAGGATAATTAGATTTAGTTATTTAGTGCTACAAAGTTAAATATTAGGATTAGGTGAATTTCTAATTAAACTTACTAAAAAATGTAGCTAAACATCGTCTTATTACTTCTGCATTAAGATCGCCGTCATTTAATAGGGTAACTTCTTCTGGTTGTTGTCGTTCAGAAAACAGCTGTTGTTTTTTCAGAGCACGTACCCAAATTTTTTCCACATAATTTTTTTCATTTAAAAAGTTGTGAAGAAGCAGGATCGTATAATGCTGTTCACGTTTTCGATTTTGTTGTCAATGCCCTTCCCTATTCTGCGAAACCTTGCCTTAAATTGCCCAAAAGCATTTTCAACCACTCTTCGACTTTTAGATAATTGGTAGTTTAAAGTTTTTTGACCAATTTTCATCATAAGGGTATGGGTTCATAACTTTGGTGGAAAATCGAAATGCAGAATCATCGAGGATCAAGACGGGTATTTTGACATCACTATTCACCCTACTTTTGTCTTCTAGAGCAATACAATTTTCTAACTGCCTATTAAGTGATGAATTTTCAAAAATGAATTAGTCATTGACTCTTCCAGGATATTCAACAATTTATATGAAGAAAACGGTATCTGAAAATAAGTAGTAAAATATATTTGCATGTTTATTGGAATTTCGTTGTTTATTTACTTATAAATTACTTACCTATAATCTACGAGGGCAAACAAAACAATCGAGTACCACCCTTTTAAGTTATAGCAGTCAACAGCATTCTGAGCTTTTGGTTTTATTTCAATGTGACTGTCATTTTAAATGTTGTTTACAATTAATAGAGGTATTTACTCTCTCTTGTAAACTCATTGCAAGGAGCACGAAATGCAAGAATGCTATACAAAAACTGCAAGACTGCGAGAACACCTCTGTTGCAGAATTGCATCATCAAAATGAATCAGCTGTTTTTGGAGCCGTATCACATTGAGCAAAGAAAAATAAAATTATAACAATGCCGCGAACAAGTGAAATAGAAAAATGTATAGATTTTTTTATTGAAAATAGTGGTTTTAATATTCTGATTGAAGGTATTAACATGTTGTTAATGTAGTTTTCACTACTGTATAGTTTCTATTTGTTAGATGATGCAAATTACTGGGAAGTGATGGAGCAATTAAATGAAGACCTTTTGTTTACTTTAGTAAACCATCACGGAAATCACCAACCCGTACCAAAATCTATTCAATGGAGATCTACCATTCTTCTAAAATTTGATGACGTTTTCGTCAAATTGTAAGCATTTGATAATTTGGAACGAATTTTCCTTAATACTCTCACTAATAAACACTAGCGCGGAGTTTACTAATTCACATTCAATTCAGCAATTCCCTCTCGATGTAAAGTCGCTACATTATTTGGTGTTGGAGATGGGGAAACAATTTATAAGATAACCCGAAGAGTCTTTCGCTCCATATTGGAACTGCAAACCGAATTTATAACGTGGCCAGATGTAGCTGAACGACAAGATAAAGTGGAGAAAAGTTATCATGAGCTTCCACATTGCATTGGATATTGACAGTACTGACATGAAACTTGCCGAAGCACCAGTGGTTAACCATACATCCTATTTTTCAAAAAAATAGAGTGTATTCAATAAAAGCACAAGTCGTATTTGACTATCAGCTGAAGATTCGACATGTCGCAGTTGGTCACTTTGGAAGTTCACACGATACTCGCATGTTTCGTAGAAGCGCTCTCTGCATCCAAGAAAATTCTTTATTTTCTTCAGAACAATGGTTAGCAGGCGATTCTGCTTATCCATTACTTAAAACTCTTATAACTCCGTTTCGGTCAAACTTACGCCATAGCAGATTTCATGTAAGGATTGAACATTGTTTTGGACTTCTGAAGGAACGCTTCGGTAGTCTTAAGGAGTTAAGAATCCGTATTCAGAATGATACGAGTCATAATTTTTGTTCAAATTGGTTCCTTGTTTTTTCCATATTGCATAACATTTTGCGACCTTCATGTGATGATACGGAACACGTGGATTACGTACATGACAACGACGAAGAATCTGATGAGATTATGCAGAATGAAGCTAGTCAGAAAACCAATGAAGGAGCTTCGAAGCGCAAATTTTTGTATAATTTAATGGTTGGCAATTAATAACTTACGAATACAAATATATAAAACATACATATATGTATATTATTTAATATATAATTAAGAAGTCAATTGCGACATTACTTTTTTCCAGTAGGTTTATTTCAAGACAAGAATAATGTATAAAAACGTATTTATATATTAATATATGTAATAATAATATAATATAAAAATAACCAGTATAATAAAAATATAACTAATTCTTAATTTATTATTGTTATTTGTTATATTTTTTATCGAGGGGGGTAGTGGGGCTTTGCACAGCAGAACGCACGACTTTCGGTGCAAAGCTGGATGATGTGTTGTCTGCAGACGATTCAATAAAATAAACTTCGTCGCCTAGCGCAGAACTAGCTAGTGGCTGTGGCAATGTCCGTACATATCACAAGCGGCTGAAAATTAGACATGCGTCCAAACACTTCATTCAATAGTTCAAAATGTAGACAAATTTTCATAAGTTTCGCTGAAATTGATAAACAGATAAATTAATTCACAAATGTATATGTATATAATATTATATTTGTGAAAACTTAATTAATGACCACATCGTTTTAAATCATTGAACGCAACGCATGAATATAGCATAGATTAACATATTTTTTCGGTGCATTGCACGACATTTACGATATTCAAAAATTACTTTCTTTCTATTATTAATAATTTCACACACTTTATATCATATTTTTAAAATTTTTCGCGTTTTCCATTTTATTATCTTACACAGTACCGAAAATTTTCTTTGTGTTTAATTTGTAAACAAAAGAAAGTTCTTTTATAGCTTTTTTGACATATAAAAGTTCTAAAAGCTGTATAAATGAGCTCATTATTATATGAACGCTTCCTCATTAATATAAATGAGCAAGTGCCTAAATGAGATAATGCGAACCTGGTATAAGAGTGGCTCATATCGTACATTTTATTTAATTTAAGGTAAAATTTGAACGCTAATTCAAAATCATATCAAATGCATAATTCAAATTTACCACTTGTTGTCAGACGATTTACAACACTACTGGAATAGTTACAACAGCTGTTTCAAGTGCAATGTTTCTGCATTGGGCGTACTTTGGATTTTTTAACAATTATTAATTAAAGTTTATTTAAATAAATATGTTTCCGTATTTACAAAGTCAGCTAGTTAATTTACAGCAACTACAAGAAGATGCTTGTCGTGAACTGATTTACCTATTGGAAAAAATTGATGGATCCAAGACAATAATACTAGACGAAGAATTAGTTGGACCCATTGGATTAATTACTTCGCCAAGCGTTTTTAGTGATCGAAGTGTAACGCTTTTAAAATTAAAAAATGATACACGTCTTCCGCGCCGGGTGACAAATATTATTTATATTGTTAGACCCAAAGTTATTTTAATGGACTTAATTACAACATGTGTACAACAAAATCCTGACAAAGGTCGTTTACATCATATATTTTTTGTGCCAAGACGATCTTACTTGTGTATTAAACATATTGAGGATAAAGCCTTTAGTACCTCTTTTCAAATAGAAGAACTCAATTGGAATTTTTTCCCACTCGATTCTGATGTCCTCTCCATGGAGTTACCAAATGCGTTCCGTGATGTTATTATTGATGGTGATCCAACTTCACTGTATCAAGCTGCGGTGGGTCTAGTTCAAGTTCAACGTTTATATGGGCGAATACCAAAAATATATGGTAAAGGAAACTGCGCACAAAGAGTTTGGGAACATACTAAACAATTGGGTGCAGAGGAAAAGCATTTACTAACTAACGGAGACAAGGGTGCTATAGATCAACTTATACTTTTAGATCGTTCGATAGATTTATTAAGTGCGTTAGCTACTCAGTTAACTTATGAAGGCCTTATTGACGAAATATATGGCATACATCAAAATCAACTTACTCTACCAACAGATGTATTAAATCCACGTTCTGATGAAACTGCGTCTATTGCGCAATCTCATCTTGTTGCAGAGAAGAAAACATTTTATATGAACTCGAATGAAAAACTTTATGCCGAGTTACGAAATAAAAATTTTAATGAAGTTGGAAGGATATTATCCCGCAATGCTAGAGAAATAAGCGCTCAAATGAATGCTAGCTCACAGGAAAAATCTGTTAAAGACATGAAGCGATTTGTTGATAAACTACCAGCTCTACTTGAACAAAAGCAATCGATAGCAGTTCATACAAATATTGCTGAATTGGTTCGCAATTACTTAGATACTTTCGATTTTTCCGATGATTTGACTGCTGAACAAGAATTCATGATTTGTGAAGACATAGATAAACCTAGTAGTTATATTGAAGATCTTATAGGAAGAAAATATGATTTGAATGAAGTCCTGCGTCTAATATGTATACAATGTGCTGCCGCATCCGGATTTAGAGAGAAAGTAGGTAAACCCTTACACAATATTGCCCTTCTTAACGTTTACTTAATTATTATTTTAGGTTCTGAATTATTATAAACGGGAAATTGTTCATGTCTATGGAATTGAAACTTTGTTAGTCATTAGTAAATTAGAAAAGGCGCACCTGTTACATACACAATCGGAGTCGAGAGCGTATGCCGTCCTACGTAAAGTAAGTTTTTTATTGAATGTCATCCATAATGTGTGTTTATGGAAATATTACGATAAGGTACCTAATAACATTTTATATGGTCAATCTTCATAATGAGCTTTAGAAAATCATAAACAATTTATTCATCGCTAAAACAAATCTAGATTCATGGTTGAATTTCGAAATAATCTCAGAGTTTTATTGAAACAATTTTGAAAAGCGTTTAAACGTTATATATGTGAGTTAATTACTCTACTTAATTTCCGTTAACATTTAGATTCATTGACATCCACTAGCTACCTAAAACTCTTTAATAGAGGTGCTCTCCTAAAGCAGGTGATCTTTCACTCCAAAGAGTAGGGCCTGTACGGAGAAAATGAATAATACTTTTCTTTTCCACAGTTTGATTGTGCATAGAAAATTAAGGCAAAAAGAACAGCCGGGTATTCGTCTTGGGACCACTGCCAACTGCGACGACTACGCGCCACCCACAACAAGTAGTAGCACATTGTCGTCCCTTCTATTTCTATTTATCAGCTATATTGTTTGCATGTGTTACAAACAATCCGTTATTAAAATATGATTGAAATTAATGACTTATTAAGTGGTGTAGCATCAGTTCTGTAAAAATTTTATCTTTGTTTTTATTACCGATATGCGGTTCGCTTGCCTTGATTATATATCATTTTGATATTTTTAAATATTTCGTCTCCCATAGGCATTCCACATAACACGTACATTTATAATAAATTAATTAGATAAACATTAAACGCTTGAATTAATTTTTTTTTATAAATATTTAGTCCTTAAATCTTACGGTAGATGAAGCCATCGAAGTGGATCCAAAGGATATTAGTTATGTACATAGTTTTTATGCTCCGTTGACTGCACGTATTGTCGAACAGACACTTAAACCATTAGGTTGGCAGTCATTAAAGAGTCAAATTCTCAATTTGCCTGGCAATACATTTGAAGATTTTCAAGCGCAATTAATTGGTATCGGCGGACGACAATCTTCGACATCTGGTGAAGGGTCCTTACTCAACATTCCTCGCGTCATTTTAGTATTCTTTATTGGTGGTTGTACATTTGCTGAAATAGCTGCTTTGCGCTTTCTATCACAACAGGAAGACAATAACGTAGAGTTTGTTATCGCAACGACAAAAATTATAAACAAAACAAATTTTATTGCAAACATTATACAATAAAAATTCTTGTTAACCCTTAATTGCTTAAAGCTTTAAATTATTTTTTATTTAAATTATAAATTATGTTAAATACAATAATGAAAATAAATATGATTTTATTTTATCAATAATATTAATTAATAATTAATTGTTTATTAATAATTGACGTATATGAAAATGAACATTTTGAAACAATGTGCTGTACCCACAGAAATTTATGTTAAATTTCCGGCTATCAGGCCTATTCTGAATCGCATGGGAATAGGAGTTTGTTCTCTGTTCCCAAGTTTGCTATTCTGAATAATTTGGGAATGGGAGTTTTGTTCCCTGTTCCCAATTTTGCTATTCTGAATCGCATGGGAATGGGAGTTTTTTTTCCCAATTTTGCACAAATTCTTTCCCAAGCAAATTGTTGGGGAGACAAGTTAAAAAAGTATTAAAAATGGTTTAATTTAATATAAAACTAACTGAAAATGATCAGATTTTTGAATATATTTTAATAAAATTAGTATTATAATAAAATTATTACAATAAATAAAATATTAAATTTTCAAAGTTTTATTTTTTTATTTTATCCACAGGAGTTGATTAGTTTTCCGAATATATTTTAATAAAATTATTTTAATAAATTTAATATAACTAAATTTTCATTAAAATTATTATTTTAATAAAAGTATAACAAATTTGAAATATTTAAATTTTTGTTTATTTATTTTATTCACACGGGTTTTTTCCACTAATTAAAGTGTTAACTATTGTTTTTAAAACAATAGAAAAATGAAAGGAAACCAAATTCTGAAATGAATGGGATTCCTAGAATAAATTAAAATAAACTTTTGCAATTATGTGCAGGTAAAACATTGCTTCTTTTTTATTGTAACATCTGCACAATCATAAACTATTATTAAGTCATTAATTGAAGCATGAAGGACATTTCTATCCTAATTATATAAAAGAATTAAATTATAATTTACGCAAATTTTATATAAAAGCAGTGAATGTTTGAAAATAAAGACATTGAAGAATTGATATCATAAAGTAAGGTTGTTTTTTAAATAGTTAAAAAAGAGTTAAAAATTTAGAAAAGAGTTAAATTTAACATGTAAGTGACTCAGCTCAAGTGGATTTGCAGCGTCTCGCAAGTTTCTGCGATTGATCCTCTGTTGCAAAATTTCGTGCTCCTGTTCTTGAGCCAAATCCTCCGCTTAAACTCGAAATGCAATTGAATGCATTTTTGAAAACTTTTTTAAAATTTTTTATTTAAATAAACATTAACAATTGCACAATTCTTGTTTATTTTGCTCATGCACAATTCTTTTTATATATTTATTTTACTCATTAAATTTCCGATAATTTGTGCAGCAAACAAATAATGCGATTTTTACATTTAAATCAACATATAATACGCAATTCTTTTCTTTGTTTTGTTCATTTTCACACTTTTCGTCATTAAAAAGTGCCATTGTTGCCAAAATTTAACAAAACAAATTTGAAACTGTTGTTGTTCCCAAAACTGCTGTCTCCCAAGCAATTCAGAATAAGGGAGTTGTGTGTTTGGGAACAGCGTGGGAATAGGGAGTTTTGTTCCATGGAAGTATTCAGAATAGGCCTGATTATCAAAAAAGCTTTCGTTCACCCAAGCAATGGCTTATTTAATTATTAATAGAACGTTTGCCACAAACTAATGAACGATTGATACAATGAATGTAAATTCATCGTTTATATTTTCTTTGAGTACATAACATCATGTTCATCCTCACTCCATTCAGATTTTGGTGTTATAAATACATTCCAGCACTTATGAATGATAACAATTAATATTAGCTAGAAGACAAATCACATCTTTCAAAATAAAATTTTTGTGCAAGATCAGATGATTTTTCTGTACTTAAATGTACGTTAAAATGTTTTGTTTAATTGATACCATTCTGATCCATTCGAAGTGAAACTGCACTGCCACAGTTTGATAGAAAACACATTACAATGATCATGTTATCATCACTTTGAAATTGGTTGATTTCTGGGTGGAATTGCGCGTTATCCAAGAGAGGATTATTTTGAAAGTTGTTTTTCCCAGGATCCCGCGTACTTTTAACAACACAAACATATGCAATTTAACTGATATTCGATGTTTACTTTTTACCAATTTTCAAAAATGAATTTGCTAAACACAACAGGTTTATGTTTAAAATCCTTTAAACATCTTGGATTGTGTACTTTGCCAAATACAAGCAACTTAACGTACTGTAATCCCGATGTGTTCATTACATCGACTTTATTTGCAGACACCAACGGACTTTTTGACTTTATGAATTTAATAGACAGATCCAATTCTTGTGAAACTGGTGAAAAACTGAATACGGTTTTTCGCAGTAATGTAATTGAGAGTATTGAAAAGTTGCATAAACCAAGTTATTTATTAAATTCATTTAAAAGAATACACCTTGCACTTAAACATGGAAAACAACTTTTTTTAAATGATCCCCATTGCTACTTTACAGTACTCCATTCTATGAATCCAATTTTTCAGTATATTTTTGATTGATTAGGCTTCTATCAATGGAAGCTACTAGTCCATGTTTTAATGGTTGCATCTTATATAATATAAATGGTTAGCGAAAATGTAATCCTTAACGGCTCCCCACATAAAAATAGGTCAACGGAATTAAATCGCAGCTGTGAAGCGGCCAATTAGCATAAGCATTTCGTCTATTATGCGACTTTCGAAACCAGTACGCATGGTATCTATTGTTACATTAGCTATGTGGCAAGTTGCACACCCAACGTTACCCTCTTTAACTATCGAAAACAAAAATGCATTCAACACGGTACGTAACGTTCACCACTAATGGTAACGGCATCTCCTTGCCCATTTCCGAAGAAAAACAGACAATTATGCACCTTTGATTTCCTCATAACGAAGAGTAATTTTTCTGACTCCCAATGTGGAAATTATGCTTATTGACATAACCTTGGAAAGTATACGACTTCGGTCCATACCGACGTCTTTATGCAAAACTCTCCTTAAAGAAGTGTGAAAAATCTTAAATTGTTGGCAATTGTCTGCGTTTTTTTTCAAATATTTTACGTCAATTTATTAGAATTTGGCTAGAAAACTTACATGGGAAGTGTGTTTTCTATATTTTCCATTTGAGCCCAAGCGAAAAATGACCCATTCCATACATGTTAAACATAAAATTAACTTTCAGCCACTTTACGAACGCCACCTATCTTACGTTTCAAACTTAAAATAACTGTTCAAATTACGTAATATATGTACATATTTTTTACAAAGCCACGTAAAATATTTTTAATTTCAGTAATGTGTTTCATTAATGTGTTGCAACTCTATGTTAATACAATTTCATCTTGACGACTTAATCTATATAGATTCACAAAGATTCTTTGCACGAAGTATCGTTGAATTATATCATAAACCCAGAGAATAAAATACCAATATTTAAACCAATGGTTTTTGAACCGCAGATGGTCCGCGAAATGAATAACAAAATGGTTCGCGAATCAAATTTAACAAATATGGATACATAGCTTAGTTTGTCCACTGAGATCTCACTTATTAGAAAATAAGCACCAAAAAGTTCCAAGCAATAATATACCCATTTGATAGCCTATATAATGTATCTATGCACTTATACAATTCATTATACATTATACCAGAGATGCATAAAGCACATTAAAATAATCGTACAGTTTATTATTCTTAAACTTTGTGGCCCCTACTAAAAACAAAAATATCATAGTGGTCCTTGGTCAAAAAAGATTGAGAACCATTAATCTAAACAGACGAACAATGGTAACTCGTGGCGTCTTGTATTACTGATCAGGGTTTGAACCTAGTAAACCCTTTACTCACATTACTCACATTCGGAAATAAATAAAATCGGTTTAAATAATATTGTTAATACACATTTTTATTTGTTTATTCTAATGGTATCTTGCAAATGTGCCTGCTACATGTTAGTGTAGTAGTATTGTAATACTTATATATCGTTCATTTTTTATTTAAACATGTTATTTACTTTGTTATTGTATGATTTGTTAATATTACCCCGTTATATTTTAACTGATTTATTATGATAATATCAATAATAAATATATCATACATGTTACATGATATATATATATATATATATATATATATATATATATTATTTAAAATAAAATACTATGCACAAATTATTACTTATACTAAAAATTGTAAAACAAATAAATAAAATTTCATGTAATTAATTCTAAACTTTCTAATAAAAGTTTACGTTTTCGCATATGTAAAAAATTATTTTCATTTATAGAAATAATTTGTTTAACTTTATATTTTCTTATTATGTTCACAAAATTTAATTTAATAATACAATTAAAAAGGCTAATGTAAAAACCAAAAACAGTCCTTAAAATATATTAAACGAATTATCTAACTTTTAGTCAATTTTATTTTATTTATAAAATATCAGTAAAATGTATATATATAATTTACAAACAGCAGAGTTATTTACGTACGTAGCTTATATGCTAAAAATGTTTCAATCACGAAAATATACTACAAAAAGGAAGCAAAAATTAGATCCAAATTCAGAGAAAGACAGAGAGAGAGAGAGAGAGAGAGTAGTGCTTAAATGTCGCACAAATATTTTCAAAAAACAAATACCTGAAATAAATAATGCAAATCATAATGCATCAATATTTAATGCAAATATTAAAGAGTTTTTAAAAACGCAATATTTTTATATGCAAAGTATTTTATAGAAGCAAACATCGCAAATGATACACTTAATATGTCGGTAGTTGGTCGTTCGCCGTTAAAAATAATATCGATTTCGATATCGATATCGATCGTGACATCATTGGGCGTAAATTCGATTTATTTTCTCTTGTTTATAACAAATATTTGCTGGATAATATTATTTCCAATAATTGCCACAAAAAAACATGATTGCTGCTCAGGTTATAATTAACAAATGAAATATTAAAACATTGTTTGCTGTTATCCTTAATAAAAATCTACTGGGAACTAAGCTATAAGAGGGGCTAGGACTTTCTTATGCTATATAATGTATTCTGCTTTTAATTATTTTTTTCAAGTTATTGTATTACATATTGTATATTGCATATTTTCAATGTTATATTAATGATAAATAATTGAAACATCTTTTGGTTGATTTGAATATACGACTTTGTATAATTATGAATGTAAAATGTACGAAAATGTGCGTCTATTGCACATTTTTCGAATTATTGTTCGTAAATCTGTCGCAGAGTTGTTACAACACAGTCCAAATTATACGTACGGATGTAAGTATTCTTTCTTTTAAAAAAACTTTGTATATTAGTTCTCGCTTTACCGATAATTAAATTTTAATTTGTCTAAAATCATATGTATAATAATTTTCGATTTATAATTAATTTGTTACTCATATATTATTTAATATAAACTTTATTTTCACATTGAAGAAACTAACACTCAATGTTTTCGACTTGCCTTAATGTCGTGTTTTCTTTTAATTGGCTTTTTTCATCATCACTAAAAAAACATGAAAAAATTTTGTGATATAATGATCTTTCTTAAAGATTTGTTTAAGGTATTTACTTTTATATGCTATAGGGAACCAGCCGGAAAACTAGTAGAACTATTACTATGTGCTAAACTTATCATTGATCCAGACAGGCTACCCTCTTCGTCAGGGTATGTCTCGCGTGAAACTTCGTTAAGAGACAATTCGCTAAATATTATATATTTTTATTTTTTGTTACTAGAAATTATGAACAATAGTTTTTTGTACCTGAAACCTAACGCAGCTGATTCTTCATCGAATGCTTCTAGTTCTTTAGCATGCTTTTCATGCTTCATTCGTAAACGTTCTGCTCGCTCTTGATTGAACTGCTGCAGCTCAGCCTCCATCTAATATATAAATAACAAAAAATACATCAAAAACAAAACCAAAATCAAATATGTCTTATGATTTTAATATTAAAGATAACGTTTCTAAATAAGTAAGAATAGAACAGAGTGATGTAAATAACTTTATATATAATGATGTATTTAAACTGTCATTCTCACCTTACTTTCCAATAAACCCCTTCTCACGCTAACCCGGTTTTCTAGTTCTCGTCGTTCACGATCCCGCTGCTCTTGAGCTTGTTTTTTGTTTTTATTTTGATAGGCAGTGAGCACTTCTAATTCATATTCTAATAATTCGTTAGTACGTTGGCACTCAATTACTTGACTTTCATCCAGTTTATAACTCTGACTTTGGAACATATCAGCTATACTTTGTTCATACTTTACAATATTTAATTAATCATTAAAATCATAATTTGAAAATTATTTTAAAAACTTCTTTCACCTGTTCTCCGAGCAATGTCAGTTTACGATGCTTTTCTTCTTTTAGTTGCTTAATAACTTCCTTCTGTTGTTCTTTTGGTGTTGTCTGCAGTATTTGTGCTTTATACCGTTTATATTGCTTTGTTTGTGTTTTACACGTTTCCCGAAACTGCTTCCGAATTTGCAGTTCTTTTTGCTAAAAAAAATAAACAGTAATAAAAGCGTATAGGAATGAGATTGTTTTTATATTTTTTAACTTTACATAAATTTAAATTAGGAATTACCTTAAGGCTTTTTGGATGCTGCCTTATCTCTAGCGCATGCTTTCGAAGCAGTTCTTTCTTTACGCGTTCCATATAATCTTTTTGGTTTTGTAATTCTGTATCGTGTTGTTTATTTATCTAGAAAAAATATTATATTAAACATATAAACATAAACATATACATACATATAAACACATTTGTATATATATATATATATATATAGTGTTTTCTTTCAAAATAACACAAATTCAGAAAGTAATTCCTTAACCCAAAAAAAATTAAATATTCCATTTTTAATACACACTAAAATGCAAGGTGTGAAAGATTTAATTCGAAAATTAATAATGAATTTGTTATCATTTAACAAGAAAATAAATTATATATATATAACAAATTTACTTGTTCTTCTCGTAACTGATGAACACTTTTTTGTTGACGATATTCTAGTTCTTGTGTTTTTTCATGATGTTTTAGTAACATTGCATGTGCCTGTTCTAGTTGTTGTTGTTTCTTACTTAACTCCTAAAAGAAAACAGACCAAAATTATGTATGAAAGATATTCAAAATATTAAACAACTATTTTGTGTAATTGTTTCTTACATCTCGTAATAACTGATCTTCCAGTTCGTGTAATAAGATCATGCGTCTTCTTTTGAATTTACGCATTTCAACATCGATATGCTGTTTTTGTAGTTTAAGCAAACGCTGCTCTTCCTGTGCTTCAGCTTGTTTCAGGTTATCTTTTTGGGATTGCAAAGTCAAATCTCGTTGTCGCTTAGGTGTCGATTCATCCATTGATAATTCACGTTTCCATCGCTCTTTATTTGCTTTGTATTCTTTCTTTCGATTAAGATCAAAAGCTTTGCGATCGTTCTCTTGCTTAAGGGAAATTTCTTTGTGTAGTTTTTTTTCTGCAGCAGTAGTTTGTTTCATTCGACGTTCCAAATCTTGTTGATGCTTCGTCTCAAGTCTTTCAAGTTCTCTAGTAAAATTATGCAACAAATAGTCATATTCTTTATCCAATGCGGTTTTATGCGTTTCCATTTCAACTTTACATTTCTCTTCAAGCTTCAACAAAGCACTTTGGTGTTCACGACGCATTCGTTTGTATCCAGACATTTGCTCATGCATCTCCTCCTTGAATTAATAATTAAACAATATTTTTGATAACAACAAAAAATTATCAATATGTTTTTAATATACAAATAACACACAAAACGAGCAAACGCTTAAAAATTTCCTTCCTAAAGTTAGAAAATCCTTAGTTTCTTAATATTTTTTGTTCGTGTGTAGTTTCTAAAAGCCAACATTTTTATTCATTTATTATGAATTCAAACAGTGGCGCACAGTTTATTCCGTGCAAGCAATATTTTAGTATCCTTATATGGCGTTTACACTGGCCTCATTTCAAATGTCATTTGAAAGTGTTTTCATCCTTCATTTGTTCTTATTTCAAACAGCTGATTTGTCAATGCGCCTGTTAATTTGATTTTTAACCTGTGGTAAAAAAATGTTGGATAAAGGTAAAATATACCTTCAAACCATACAATATAAACTGAAATCTTATTTTCAGCTTCGATTAAGAACTTTTTGGGAAGTAGAAATTCCAAAAAGAGGTGCATCGTTTTGAAGGAAATGCAACCACCAAACATTTGTTTACCTTTTTTTGTAAATATGTCAAAAACAGCTTTCTCAAACTGTCAAAGTGCCATAAAAAGTTTTTATTTACGATATGCTCAATGTATTCATTTTGCATTTGGAACTCATTTGCACAAAATCAGTAAATGGAAGTCATTTGCGTATATGAGATTTTGTATGCAGAAATCAGTCATTTGATATTTGTTTGCAATTTTTGACCAAAATCAGTCATTTAAGCCCAGTGTTAACGCCATATTAGTCGTGAAATTCCAAAATTTTATTCAAAACAAAAATTCTAAATATGGAACTTTAAAGAATGTTTAGTTTTTATTATACAACAATAAAAATGTTAAAAAAAATATCAGTATTCAAGAAGTTAACTGAACAAAAGCAAATATACATAAAATTCTGACCTTATAGCTTATTACGTCTATATTTCTGCTTCTCAAAATCGTGCGAATAACGGGGCTAACGGGACAAATGTAAAAAATGAAAAGCGTCAATTAGTTATTAAACATTATTAGACTGAGGAAACACAAAGAAAAATTGCTGACGTTGTAGATTTGAGTTCATATACAATCCAATACATAATTTAACGTTATGTTTACGAAAATCCATAGGAAAACAAAAGCAGAGAAGCCCTAAATAAAATTCCGAGTAAACGTGATGAAAAATGGATAATAAGAAAAATTTAAAAATCCTACATTAAGTGCACCGTCTATTGCCAATATTGTTGAAATGTTTATTGGAAAGAAATGTTATATAGAAACTGTTTTAAGAGTTTTAAGAAATGCTAATTATAACGAACGAACTGTCCGAAACAAGCCATTCATAAATGACAAAAATCGTAAAATTCGATTGCAGTTTGCCAAACACAACTTGTGCAAGGAGAGTACTTTCTGGAACTCAGTATTTTTTGCGGATGAGAATAAATTTAATTCTTATGTTTCAGATGGTAAATCATATATGTGGCGTAAGCCAAATGCTGAGCTCCCAAAAGAAAATTTACGTAGCACAGTTAAACACAGCGGCGGACTTGTGATGGTATGTAAGTGTATGTCAGCGATAGGGGTTGGTAATCTACAATTTATAGAATTAACAATGAATAAAGAATTGTATCTTAATATATTCTAGAAATTAACATAAAAAATATAACATTTCTAGCAAGGAAAGCATGAAAGATTTCACTCATATTTTTGGAAAAAAATATGAGTGAAATATATCCAAAAATTAGTTACTTCGATGCATTCATGGTTGGCAATTCAAGAAATTAAAAAAAAGGGCAATCCTACTAAGTATTAAAATTTAATTTTTTATTTTAAAAATGATTAATTTTCAAAATAAAAATGTATCACACTAAATAGGTTTTTGTTCTCACAACTTCTTGAATATTGATCTTTTAGTTAAATTTTTACTTTGATTCAAAATAAAAACTAAATCTTCTTCAAAGTTGCATACTTAAAATTTTTTGTTTTGAACAAAATTTTTGAATCTCACGACTACCATAAGTCTACAAAAATATTGCTTGCACGAAATAAGCTATGAGCCACTGTATATAGGTGTACACATTTAATCTACTTATAATAAAAAATACGAACCTTTTATTTTTTAATCAAAACAATTATTTGTCAAGCTAACCATACAGCTGTTTCGAATAGTCTCAAATATCCATTATACTTTTTGGAAACATCTATTAATTTTATTGGACTTATATAATTTTTGGACTACAAACGTCAGGAATTGAACGCTGCCAATTTTGAACCGTGGAGTTAAATGCACTCAAGTCCAACGTACATTTAATTTCCGTTATTCAAAATTCGAGTTTTTTATTTTCTTTATTTATTCGCAAACAAGAATAACATTTGCCGCACTATTTTTAGAAGTAACGCATAAACCACAGCTATAAAAAATTACCTACATATACATATATTATAAATTGATGTTTTTTTTTCATTTCAAAAATGAAAAAATTTCAATACCACATGATACATAGAATGCTCACATTACCCCTAACACAAACAGCCATCAATGAAGAAAGCACATACATTAAGGAAATAGCGGACATCAACGGATACCCTTAGAACACCATCGATAGAATCATAAAAAAGATACGAAGGCAGCTACATTCCAGGAACATGACAACATTGACAGCAGAAAAACCAAAACAAAGAAGAGTCGCCGTACTATATAACAACACCGTCTCCAAAGGTCTAAAATCCAAGTCAGAAAAGTTCAATATCGACTTAGTTCACTCTAGTAGGCCACACCAACTCGAAAGCCTATTACCATTCGAAAAATGAGGAGTATACAAAATAAAATGTGGCTCCTGTAACAATATATACATTGGACAAACAGACCCTTATCAGTAAGGCTTGAAGAACACCTAAAGGAAGCAAGAGAAGCACCGAAGAAAATAAACCCCCACATAAAATCAAATGTCGCCAGACATATAGTAAAGGAAAATCACCACAACAACAGGAATAACGCCCAAATAATCAAAAATGTAAGGGATAGCTGGAAATTAGAAACGGCAGAGAGCATCGAAATATGGCTTATTAGATACATCCCAAAAAACCAACAACCAGTCGACCTAACTACCTGTATGTAACAATAAAACAAAACCAGACCAACCCCGCCACCATTTTTTACCTGTCACCCCCAAGGACAATAACCCTACCAAAATTAGTATTAAGAAATAACAAGTAAATAGTGTAAATATTAGGTGTACCGTAAAGATACAAATGTTCCGACAGGGAACATTTGTTGTGAACGAGCCATTTTTTTTTGTTTGTTTGCTATGACATGTGTGAATAATATTTAGTATGCATCAAGTCATTGAACAGACAACATCATATTTTTTCATCGTGTTAAAAATGTCGAATTTTGTACCAGAAAGTGATGATTTGCGGAAAGCATTAATTTTTTGTTTTCATTTGAAGAAAAGTGGTGCAGAGTCGCATCGAATGCTTGTCGAGGCATATGGTGATCATGCTCTATCAGAAGCAACATGCAAAAGATGGTTTCGACGGTTCAGAAATAATGATTTTGATGTGAGAAATAAAGAACGTGGAAGACCGCCAAAAAAGTTTGAAGACGCCGAATTGCAAACGATATTGGATGGAGATGACACTTTGGGTCAAAAGCAAATGGCAGAAATGTTAAATGTTGCACAACAAACAATTTCTGACCGTTTAAAAGCTATGGAAAGATCCAAAAGTGTGGAAAATGGGTGCCACATGAATTGAATGAAAGACAGATGGAAAACCGAAAAAACACTTGTGAAATTTTGCTTCAAAGACACGAAAGAAAATCTGTTTTGCATCGGATTGTTACTGGCGATGAAAAATGTATTTATTTTAAGAATCCTAAACGGAAAAAATCATGGGTTAATCCGGGACAACCATCAACATCGACTGCAAAACCAGATCGATTCGGCAAGAAGACAATGCTGTGTGGTTTACCACGAGCTCCTAAAACCTGGTGAAACCATCAATGCTGGTCGCTATGAACAACAAATGATAAATTTGAACCATGCATTGATCGAGAAACGACCAGAATGGGCCAGAAGACACGGCAAGGTAATTTTGCTCCATGACGATGCACCTGCACACAAAGCAAAACGGGTTCAGGATGCAATGAAAACACTTGGCTGGGAGCTGGTACCCCACCCGCTGTATTCACCAGACTTGGCTCCTTCCGACTACCATTTGTTTTTATCGATGGGACACGCATTGGCTGAGCAGCACTTTGATTCCTACGAGGAGGTCGAAAATTGGGTGTCTGGTTGGTTTGCTTTAAAAGACGAACAATTTTTTTGGCGTGGTATCCACAAATTGCCAGAAAGGTGGTCAAAATGTGTAGAAAGCAATGGCCAATACTTTGAATAAAATGTTATATACTTTCCTATTAATAATTAGTGTTTTATTTTCACCAAAAAACGCTCATTTCTTACCGGTACACCTGGTAATTTGTAAGATTGCTAGATGTTTTTAATATTAGGAATTCTCCTGATGAAGGCAAAACCGAATTTGCCGAAACACGTGTAGAGATACACAACATAAAACTTTCGAAATAAAAGTTAATATATTCTAAAAAAAACAAAAATAACCGCATTTCAATACCAAAGTTTAATAAACATTGTTTATATTCAATAAACTCAACTATATAAGAACGATCCTTAAATACTGATAATAAAACGGAACAATGGCCAGTAAGATTCAAAACAGTACAGAAAAAGTTAAAAGGTCAATAGAATCAAAATAAATGATGTCAACGATATCAAACTACGAGGGAAGTATATGCCAAAACTTTTGATAACAAGTATGCAATTTTAAGAAATCAACTCCCTCGGAAATTGCAGAATGAAAAAATTGAGGGGAACAAAATGTAGCATAAAAATCATAATATAAAAAGTACGAAACTTATTTGAAATAATAAATTGATATTTTGAGCATAAGCGAAATAAGGCCATGAAATATGACCAACATAAGGACAAGATCAGCAGGATGGTGCATGATTCAACTATTCAAAAATGACATAAAAAGACGTAGAAAATAAGTAGGCGTAATTGTATCGGATATATGCTAAAACATCTAAAAATCACGAAATACGGATATTTCAGATATCAAATCGATTTCATTCTTATAAATAATGCTAATCCTTGTCAAAAATATTCAGATAGTTTCAAAAAGCCATGTTGTATGAGTCTAAATTGACAAACGTATTAAATGGTTTAAATGATGTAGAATGGAAAAAGGTAAATAAGCAATTTTGTACAGAAGGTTTGTTATAAATTAATTGAATTACACTTAATATCAGATAATCTAATAATATTTTAAACCGGATAAAAGCATAAATCTCAATCAATTAAAAAATATCAATAACAAGAAAAAATATATAACGAAAATTCTATTGATGCTTGGGACAAAGTAACTAAAACTATAAGCGAACTTATCTAACTAACTAGTTACTATTACTCAAACGGTAAGAGATAAATGTATAAACAATAAAATATTAGAACTAGAAAAAAAAAATGAAGACAACATCGAGATATCAATTCAATTTAATAAAAGGCTTACTTAAAATACATAATAAAAAAGGCATACATAATAAAAAAACAAAGAGAAAGAAATTGAGGATTTGAAAAGGGTTCAGAGAATTTTAATATATATTTCAAAAATGTATTTGAAAAATCAAAAAATAAAACAACTCACATTTAAAATGAAATCGCATCTAAAATACTTAAACCCCAGATTCAACATCGTACGAAAGATATTAACCTATACATAGATATATATAACACAGTCTTTTGCGTGGTTTAAATCATCATTGATGACGATCCCCAAAAAGACTAACGCAATATCATAAACAGTACAGATTCGGTAGTTTAATGAATGACACATTAAAGGTATTTGTTAAAGTATTGCATAACAGAATAAAGAACAAATGCGCAAATCTGACGTAAACAATACAATTCGATTTTTAACAAGAAATGGGTACCAGGGAAGCAATGTTTTGTTGATACTGTAATCAAATTAGATGATAAAATTGGCAAATCACGAAATAAAATAAAACTGGAAACTGATATAAATTTTGTTTGGGCATTTTATATGTAGTATAGAAAGTGTGAAAGGATATTGTGTACCCCAATCAATATTTTTGAGTTCAAAAGTCACTAAAATAGGTTTATTGGTAACATGTCGTGTGTTCCTTTCAAAGTTATTGCAGAAGTTGTACAATTTTATGCTCTACAACGACGGTGCTCGTGACACTGAAAATGCCTATCATAAACCGACTGATAACATTTGAAACATGCTTAGAAAAAACCAACAGACAACTATTAAATTTTTTTTTAAATAGTATTATTTATATGGAATAAAACCATAAATAAAGCAACTATTAGCTAACTAACAGGTAATTTGAATTTAATCAGATTTAGACGATTACACGTAATATTAATTCAACTAGTTCATTTCAATCAAAGCCGTGTACGAGTTGATCTAATTTGCGTTCTAATCGAGGGAAATTCTAAATTGTGCCAATAATTTAGTGAAATGTTGGTATTTAGAATATTTTCAACGTGACTAAATGAAGACTAAATAGAAAAATGGCCAGAATTGCTACTTTAATATTTTCATAAGATCTTTAATAAAGTGTAGTGAACTACAACAACAAAAATTCATTTTTATATTAATTAAATTAATTGAATTTTTGGCTGACTATACAGCCAAAAGTATACAGCCGAGTATTGCCAAAGTGAATCAAACAATAAAATGACAATAGAAAATGATTTTAGTTATTAGAAAACTTTTAACCGAAAAATGATCACTTTTTCCATGTATTTTTCATTATTTAATGAACATTTGCAACACATTTTGTAAATACTTGTATTTTCTAAAATTTTAACTACTTTTATTTAATATTATAAACATTTATTTGATAAAATTTAATTATAGCGATTGTTTTCAAAAAACTAAGTGGATTTCTTTTCATTGACTTGACAATATTGTTTTGTCAATTCTTGACGTTTGCATAATTTTGAAAATACATTGAAATACATAGATATTAGCTGCCAAAATGCAACTCGCCTGCTTTTTGAACTTTGTTGCTAAATGTGTGCAATACAAAAAATTTCAAGGAAAATCCCATTTAGTTTAGCATGAAATTAGAACAACTCGCACACACCCTAAATGATATAAAACGATGAAAAAGTGCTTCTTTGGACGCATCTCAAGAGGTGAAAAATGTGAAATGCTGCAACTAATTTGGCAAGATGAAATCAAAGACCGCAAAGGTGTCAGCAGAAAACAAATGCTTTGACTAAAAAGTATAAAAAACTGGAATGAATTAAGGATAATAAACAAATTAATTGAAGCTACAAGATGCCGAGAGACTTTTAAATAAACTATTACCAACATGACATCAAATTTAAGCCTTCTTGTTTTGCGCAGTATGTATTATTCTTTACTATATAAGTGTTCGAATTTCAATTTTAATTTGAAAAATAATAAAAAACAATTTTTTAAAAAATACAAATTCTGCTTTTTAAAATGTTGAAATCCGATATAGTATACTGCAAGTATTTTATAAAGTACAGAAAACTTGTAACAGAATACAAGTGATTATTTTTGCTTCTTAAAGATATGAAATATTACATACAAAGGCTTGCGAATAAAATATCATATTAGCTTTTAAATTAAGTAGCGTTTATGCCCCCACATGTAGCAACTGCTTGATATAAAATTTCTTTTGAAATTAAAATTGTGTTCGGCAAACTTTTCATCAAAAAAATAAAAAGATATACAAGAAAACTTGGCAACGCTATCTTATTTCAAAAGCATGATGGATTGGTTGTTGTTGTAAATCAGAAATTAAATAATTAACTTAACTAATTAAGTGAATTAATTAAATAATTAATTAATTAACATAGTTGACGGAATAGAGCGTAAAACTATATGTTAGAAGCACTATATGTTTTATTGGAAAAACGTTTACCTGCATATGTTCCTTTTGTTGTTTAGTAACAATACTTGTCGTGCGTATGGTTGCAAAATTGTTTGGTCCATGTTCGTTGACTACATTGGAAATTGCTTGTTGTGAAGGTGATGCAGAATAAGCAGCTGTAGATGCAGCAGGTGACGACAAATATCGCTGTATAGGTAGACGTTCACTGGTTCCTCCAACGTTGCAACTAGTTGCAGGGGATCCACTGCTGCTTTGAACATGTGTCATTGTTGGCATCGACATTACAGGAACTGGTGGTGCTGGCACAACAGACGTGGAATTTGTAGGCGTAACGTTATTATTCATGCTGTGCATAATGCTAGGTAAAGGCGGTAAGTTACGATGACGAGAGGGATTACGGGAAACGGCACCACTTGCAACAGCAACTGACACTTGTGCCGCCTGATGATGATAATTTGCAGCAAGCTGATGTTGTTGTTGGGCAGCAGCAATCACATGATTTTGGGCAGCCGGAATTGAATTTGATGAGGAGCTCTAATAAATAAAACACCATAATTTAGGTTAAGTGATTTTATAAATTATATTATATTGAGTTAGTTATACTACTTGACTACTGGCCGCTGATATGCCCATAGATGGTATGGAGTGTTCTGAAGTAATACTATTACTTTTACTGCTATCACCGCCGGCGTGTTCATCTTGTGTGTCGTCTGTATCGCCAATGGCACTTTCAGTCTCACATGTATCAACCATAAGAATTTTTTTCATTTTTCGATAATTCAAATTATCTAACTCACGAACAGCAGATTTGGTACGCGCAATTAACTCTAAAAGTACTGTTTCTGATCGTGTCCTTGTAACATAAGCATGTGTCAAAAGCTTAGTAGAAGATGGTCTTTCTGCGGGCATTTTTTTAAGACACAAATCAACAAAGTTACAAAATGTATCCGACCAGTCATTTTTCTGAAAAACAAATTATTTTTTATAAATGCTATGACAGAATTTAAACTAATTATTAAGATAAGACTAATAATACCGGCAATGTTGGTGATTCATTTTGCGCAATATGATATAGAGCAGACATTGCATTCATATTGAAGTATGGAGGTTTCCTTTCAGCTAGTTCAATGCATGTTATACCCAATGACCAAACGTCCACCTTTCCATCATATTGTCCTTCATCCATGGCTAGAATAACTTCTGGTGCCATCCAATATGGTGTGCCAACAAAACTATTCGCTGGACACTTAATTGCTGCGCTCCCAAAATCAGCTAACTTTACAATTCCATTATCAGTGAGAAGTATATTTCCTGCCTTTATGTCCCGATGAATTCGTCCAAGACTATGTAGATAGCTAAGACCACTAAGTACACCGTCACATATTGCCGATATTTCATCTTCATGTAACGGTTTTTTATGCACCTCGATAATGTCTGAAGCCGAACCAACGCAATATTCCATCACAAGCCACGCTGTAGATTCTCGTAGGTAACATCCTTTATACTCTATTGTATTTGGATGATTTAATTGACGTAGAAATCTAATTTAACATATAGTTTTAAATAAAATATATATTATAAAGTATATAATTAAATACAACCTAACCTTATTTCTTTCAAAATATCCTGCCATTTTTCTAGACTTTGTTTACCCGTATAAGACATCTTCTTAATGGCCACAATTTCTTTAGTGAGATTGCATCGTGCATAATAGACTGCGCCGAATGATCCATGACCAATTTCGCGCAAATCTTCAAATATTTTTTCTGGGTCATGTTTGTTAAATAGATCGGCTATTTCTGGATCTTTAAGACTGCCTGGCCTTGCCGAAGGCATTGCTCATGTTAATATTAATAAATTGTTGCAATTACTTTATTTGCAAATTATACATTCACATTCCTTAAATGAACAAAATTTTTTTTAAATACAAAAATTCTGAATAGTAGTACTTATCAATCAATAATTAAATAAAAATAAACATTTATTTAATTATTTGCCATATTTTATGTTAAGATATAACTAAATTACTAATATTCAGTATATTAAACTATGCTTTATAATAATGTAACCTAATGTTATGTACACAAACGAAATATTAGTACGCTTATTTCGAAGAGCGAATAATGCTGCATTTGAATCAATACCATCATTTGTTAGAATAATTATAAAATTTGGTTAAAATCGATTTAGCATTTAAATTGTTTTTAAATAAAAATATATAAGTATGTTTTCTGTTATGTTAGCTGTTCATTTCTAAATTAAGCAGAGAAAGGTTTTGAAATTCGAAATGAGAGAACATATTTGAACGATTACATATGAACACGCCTGTCTACTTTATTTTCTACATTTTCAATGACAAAACTACTCCGTTGTTTAGCAAATAATAAATTCAAATAATAATAAATTGGTTTAAAAAGCAATTTTCTTTATAATTTACAATCATTGATTTGAATATATATATTGCACTATTAGTGATGAGCTTTGCTCTTTGTTTTTTTTTACATAGGCAGTTACATATATTTAAAAAATTTGTTAACATTTATTTATAACATTACATTTATAATTATATTAAATAAATTATTTACAACACAGTTAGCTTTTGGAGTTTGATAAATGTGCTCCGAACCTTTAACAGAAATGCTACACCTTAAGTTTTCTTAACTCTCCTCTCTAGTTCTTAAACCGTCATAATTCGGGAGTCTTATCTTAAAGCCCTTATATATAGATATGTATATACATGTATAATTATAATAATTTATACATCAATTGTCTTATAAATATTATCCAATTTAACTTGAGCACAATATAGTATTTCAACAATAACAATAATAACTAACTTTAATTTTTTTAATAAGCACTCAAAAAGTTCTTTAATTTACATCTCACCACACCAAAAACGAAGTCATTTTTCGCGAGTTATATTGACGTCTCAGCGTACATGAACAATTTTCATATTTCTTTCTTTACACTTCACAAAATAATTATTTCAAATATAGTGTCCTGTTTCCTCTTTTAAACATTTGTCACTTATTATCATCCATTTAATTATAAATGTCCAACTGGCTTGCAAAATATCCACAAAATCGTTTTTTTGTATTCTCTAAAATCTTCTATGCACCCATATGGTGAAAAATATAAAACAAAATGGCTACTGAGCGAAAATGGCACTGCCAAGTCAATAAGTATTTTATTCTTTAATATTTATAACAGCATGTTTAAACTCGTATTAATTTATTTTAAATAATTTTATTTATATGTAGAAATTTTTTTAAAATAAATATTCAAACTGATTATTTATTATAAACATATAGTTTGATTTTTCGTCTTTTTGATTTCAGTCTAACGCAAATTATTTCAGCTGTATATACTCGTTTGCACGTACTCTCATGCAATATAGAACGAGGAAAAACAGCGATTTGGTTGTTATTCCTAATAGCTTGAAACATAAATCAAAATTATTTGTTAACATAATTAAAAATAAACAAAAAAATAAAATGCTGCCCAGTCAACGGCTCTGTTGTGAACGTTTATCAAAAACTTGTCTCAACTGAAAATATTTATAATGAAACCATAAGATGAAATTAAGCTAACACAAGAGTTGAATATTTTCCATTTTATATATAAAAAGAAATCTTTTATTTCAAATTCGTTAAATATTTACTATAATCAACTACTTATAATTTTATTTTTAATATGTCAAAAATAGCTTTCTCAAACTATCAAAATGCCATGAAGAGCTTTTATTTAGGGTATGTTCAATGTATTCCTTTGCATTTGGAACATATTTGGAACGCATTCGAACGTCGTTGGGACGCATTCACACAAAGTGTGCTGAAATGGATCGCATTCGCGCTTGAAATTTAATATGCAAGAATGAGTTATTAGCTTCTCTTTATTGATTTTTAACCAAAATGAACCATTTTCGGCCAGTGTAAATGCCGTATTAGGCCGTGTGCGAGTTCGAGTAAATTAATGGCAAATTGAGAATAGTAAATTATATCGGTATGGCAGCAAATATTGGTATTTATCAGAACTTCAAGTAGAGTAAATTAGATAAATAGTAAGGTATTAAAAAATTTTGTAAATTGTAAAAAATTTTATAAGATGTTTAAAAAATAAATAAATAAATTTGAACACTTTTAACCAAAAATAATAAATAAGTGCAATAAATAAATAAAAAAATATTTAAAAAATATTGCAAAAAATCACTAGGAAATTTCATTTTACTTTACCTCAATTTACTCATATTCGCACGCGGCCTTAATAGTTATAGTATTTATAGTAGAAGTAATTTATTTTAGAATTTTATAAAAATCTATATAAATAGATATTTTTGTTATGTTATTTAATTTGTATTTTTATTATCTAATATATTATTAGATATATGGACTTAACTTTTTAAAATTTTTACATTAAGTGTTTTCATATCTTATGACTTAATATGTATTCTTTTGACATGAATATTCAAATAGAATGCGTGTCGCTTAAAAATTAACATGGATAGCAAAAACAAAATTCGCAAAAATAAGATATCTGCAAATAATTTTATAAAAAAGTATATATAAAAGTATGTAAAATAATTGACACAAAAAAATTATTGGTGAGCATTTTATATTGTGTTTAAATTTATGTAAAAGTACACATTAATCAAATGCAATTCGTGAATTTATGTGACACTTATAAAATAAATTGTCAGGAATATTGAAAATCTATTAAAGTTATTAATTGAGTGTATAATTTATAATGAAACATTTTTTATTGATAATTTATGTTTCAATTAATAAACTATAGTATGAGTTTCAAATTAATATGATACTAAATTTATGTTGTATTATATAAATGATATATATTTATATTTTAATTTGAAACTTAAATTATAATTAATTAATTGACACATAAATATTATGTATATATAAATATATACATAATTATATAACAACTTAAGTTTGTTAATGTAATATCAGAGCGTATATGGTTAGCAAGTAGCAACTCTGTTTAAGAATGAGGTTAACACTTTTTCTCGGTTACTTCTTTAATTATTCATTTTGTTTTTCACTTTGCAGTTGAACAGTTGTCATCTATTCGTGTCCATTAGAATATTTTTGTAAAGCATAAAATAATTAATGACTTAATTAAATAAAAGATCGTGACATAGAGAATCAAAGCATTTTTTAGTTTAAGTAAAATGACGTCGAGAGGGGGTGCTATATTCTCTATATTTTTAATACTTTTAACATTTGTTTTTTGTGCGGAAAAAGAATATTTTGAAAGTAAGTGTGAAACAAATAATTTGTTCTAATTAAGTTTATAATAATACTAAATTTCGTAAGTGAAAACTTAAAAATGCTATTGTGCACACAATCGAAAATCTAGAAAAGTTTAAATACCACCATAAGAAGACATAAAAAACGACGTAGATGAAAATTATTAACGCTAGCAAACCCTAAATGGAATATTTATGGTCATCGTATATTTATAGATGTTTTTTTGCAAGAAATTTGTAAATAAAAATGGTTTAAATACGTAGTGGATAAATTACCTTTCGGGTCATATATTGAAACTGACAAAGTGTATTTAGATATAATAAATTAAAAAATATAACATGAATTCAGTACGGTTCAACATATGCAAGGACATAAGTCTAAATAAAATTATCTAAAAAATTAATGAAATTATATATTCAATTTTAATTGTCATTAAGGTTACTTGGAATTACCTGACGACAATAAATAAATTAAAGATACCCATTTCTATGGTCACGTTTGTTTTTTAAATAGAGTTCTCATTAAATATTTAATTTTATTGAAGTAATTTATTAAAACGCCAAGAGCATAGTAGAATAAACTGTCGCTTAAGTTCCAAATTCCCAATAAATTTGTTTTTAAAATTGGAAATGCAAAGGTTTTCTACATAAATTCACAAGCATCAGGGCATTTTTCCTCTCTAATTCTCATAATTCTGATGATGCCATTTGCATTGCTTTTGTTATCAGTTTTATATTTAATTATTTTCATTTTTTCTATGGCGAATGCGGTTTTGTTTTATTCATATTACAATTCATATTTCTCACTATATATTGTCATTACCGAGCATAAATAAATGAACAACATATAAAAAAAATATCCACTTATTTATCTGCATTAACTCTCTAAATGTTATGCTGTTTTGCATTGGTAAATCTGAGGTAGGTTTTTCAATCGAAATGCCCCTTAAGTGCAATTTTCATTTTTCATTGGTAAATCTAGTTATTTTACCAGAGTAACAAGATTATCCTGAAATTAACAGCTGTTTTATGTGACTTGCCAAGTAAAGTGTGAATTGATTCGATATATGGATTTATACGTAAATGTATGCTAATACGGCTAAAAAAAGGTAAAATTTCTTTAAAAATATTCGATTGGACAACAAAATTTGGCAGATCAAGAGTAAATCTTGGTTGAATCCAGATTTACCAATGGAAAACGCCATTAGTATTATACAAGAGTAGTTCAACTTTTAACTGTAAAGCTAACGTAGAAACAATATATTTATAAAAATGGTTTATTAACATCACTTCCATATTTTCTCCATGCTTGTTCGTGATGTAAGCATTGACGATGTCATATATTCAAAGCATTGCAAACAGTTACTTCAATTTTTGTAAAAAGGCGTCCATCTAAAACATTAGATACAACATATGCTCAGGTATTTTTAGCAAGCCATTATCAAATTACAATTTATAAATCTGGACCTATTCCGTAATATTTTCATCTAAATTGTTTTCCTTTATCATAAGTGTAATTTTTTAATAGAATAATTCAGTTTTTGTGTATAATTTTCCGATATTTAGTGTATAACAAATTTTTCAGGAAAATACTGAAATTATATCTAAATATAGTGCGCTTATATTTCATTTTAATGTAAAAGAAGGTATTAAACTACAGGTTATACATATGTTGATTTTGATTTGACAGCACTGTTTCAGTGACATATGTCAAAAAAAACTCACTCAGAATATCCTTTGTTTAATGTAAGTCTTAGGGACATGTTATGATTGCAGTCACGTCAGGCATTTGTTATTTTCAACGCAAAATAAAATTTGGCATTGACAGCTAACTTCATTTTGCATTGAACGCAGCAATTACAGCGTGGCGTTACTGCAATCATAATATGACATATACATTTGACAGATTGCAACAGTGATGCCAGTGTCTCGCTTAGCGAATATAGGCTAGCACACATTTTTTGCTATACATGCGAACTACCGAAAACGCCTAGTATTGTTTAACAATTAATTTACTATAAGAATTGTGATGATATTTCGAATAAAAATTTGTTTATTTAGGCTCAGTTTGCGCCTTTGAATATAACAACGAAGGAAATTATCACATCTGGGACAGTGAAATTTCACACGTTTGGGGATCGTATTTTTTGTAACAATAGCGACGATGTAAGTCAAATAGTTAATTCTTATTCTTACAGCTCAATGAAAAAACTATAGATGTGAATATGAACCATATGTGGTTTAAACGAGATGATGCTATAAGTGTCACAGTTCGTTTGGGCTTTGTTATACGAAAAATTTCCCGAATGTGTGTGTGACTTGCGAAAGCTAACGTTTTGGTGATGTGAATTGGGCACCAACATCATGCGTTTCGTCACCATTGAACTTTTTTATAGCCTTATACAAAGAATTGTATTTATGTTTGCAATCGCAAATCACTCAAGTCTTGAGTTATTGCTATTTAGGATGTTAAAAAGCCATCGCAATTTTTTTCAGTGCGATAACATATGATATTGTAATGTTATATTTCACACCTTATAGCATGATTTAAACAATATATTGAAATAGAAATTTGATTCAAATCTCAATCCTAAGTTTGTTACATTTACGAACCATACAATGGATAATCCTGTTTTAGGTAATAGACTTTATTATTAATTTCAAATTCAGCAAATAATAACGATTATTGATATTATTAATACGCTGTCGTTATGTACTAATAATTAAAATGGCACTTTATTATATTTTGTTATATTGAAACTCTTATTGAGGATCTAAATTGTAGAAATTTTGAATGTTATACTATACTAACTTACTTTTGTTTAGCCAGATGAATATTCGTAGCATGTATCGCGCCATTTTTCTCAAATCATTAAACTCCTTTTTGTTTACATGTAATACGATGAATTATCGATCAGGGGGAAAACAAAACTTTTCGTATAAACACTCAGAAAAAATTCATATGGAATGATGATAAGTAAACAAGAATGTTATGAGAAATAGATAAAGCTATATAAATTTTTATGTTTACAAGACAGAATCTATAAGTCTAATCAGTGCTGTTAAACTGACAGAAGCTAGTACTTTGACTACTGCAAATACAATATGAACTCCCTTGACATCTGAACTTAAAGCAGAAATCAGTTATAAATAAATTTGATATTAGCAATTACACCTCAATACCTCAATTTGATGATATACTTTGATGATACACTTATTGCCCATGTATAGGGTTGTGAGATGATAATGGTATTGCAAATGTGTACGGACGTGTATCTTGTTTTTATTTAATTGTTTTTCTGTGACTTCCAGCAGTACAAGTTCACTTTAAATACCTGTTCAGTTTTGATAAATTTGAGATAAAATATAAGCAAACAATTGCGTTGCTTTAAAAACAATCATGAATTTTTAAAAATTTTATCTTATCTACAACAAATAATTTTGCGCAGATATATTGATTTATGCTTATACATTTGATTGCAATTTCTTGTAGTATAAAAATGAATTAGAATTTTAACAATTCGGGCTTGTCAAATTTTTTTAAACGCCGTTTAACATACAAAACCATTATTTAACCATAACGTAGTATTAATATAAGTGAATTTCAAAACAAATGTGATGTAATTTTTTTTCTATGTATAATACATATTAATAGTCTGTTTCTTCAAATTTAAGATGCTAATAGACAGATTAGACCTCAAAATGAGGATTAAGAGATATATGAATCAGCTCGTATATTAACGTACGTAATACTCTAAACGATATTGTGTGGTATCAGAACAAGAATAGTAAGTGTTAGGAAGATTGGGTGTTTAAAAAAATTGTATCTTCTAATATTAAGTATAAAAATAAAAACTATGGTCCTTACTGCAGTCAGAATAAAAAGTATTCTCCTGTTGTAAATAGTATCACTGTGAATAAAGTATGTATTATTGATGCTGGTAAAGCTACGCTTTCTTTATAGTGACAAAGAAGCGATATTTAAATTTTTTAGAGAATTTTCGAGTAGCAAAGAAAGAAAGAAAGGACAAACACAAAAATTTTATTGAAATTTGGCTGACCACACAACGCTGTTTCGAGTATTGCCAAGTACTCATCATCAGTGGTCTTAGAAAATATTCGAATTTCTTTTTAATTAGTTTATAGTAAATAATTTGTTTGGACTGCAAGTGACAGGCTTCGAACTCGTGCCTGTCAAATTAGAAGCGATGACTAATCGTGTTTATCCACAAGTAGCCAAGGCTGTACAAACTTTCTATGCTCAAGTTCCAGGTTTTGTTGTCACTTATTTTTTTTTTATTTTAATTAGTGACACCAACCAAAGCACTTGCCGTGCTTTAAATCAGAACGAGATTATAAACTACAGCTTTATTTGGAAACACAAGTTCAACGAATTGAAAGTTAATTTTTTAAGTTCGCCTATATTTTTATTTTCAATGCTATACTTTTTGTAGAGACATCTGTTATGCATATTGTCTACTTACTATATGTAAAGCGGCCATTCTGGTGCTTATTACAAAGAAGCTACGCTATGTTACTCTACAGACTCGCTTTCGCGATTAGGAAAAGTATGTATTATTGTTGCTGGTAAAGCTATACCCCTATGAATATGTATAATGTTTTGTAGGTTTTGAGCTTTTGGTTCATTTGGGCTCTTAATTTTACTTAAAAGAAGTGATCAGTCAAATAAATTCAGTAACCACCAAAAAAAAATTTTAATAGTCAAAAACCTGCTCAGATTTTTTTATTAGGAAACCTCGAGAAAATCTTCCAACAATATACTTTGTTTTCGAATTTTTCGTAGTATATAAGAAAAATGTTTCATAAATAAGTATAGTTTTAATTGTTTTGTGGCCTCAAAAATGGTAGCTGTTAGCAGAGTTAGCAAATTAGTTATCTTAGTTGAATAGAAAACCTTGCTAAAGATTTATGAATATTGTAGCTTCTATAAATAATGCTTACAAGGAGATATTCGTCTATGCCAATTTCGATATCCAAATGACCTGA